CTGGAGATGTGATCTTTCTCGGCTATGAAGTCTTCTTTTTGCTTAACAAGCTTTGGACAGTCTTTGATCATGCTCGAGTTCCATAAATTAGATTAGCTTCCACTCTATCATTTAAAATGTGTAAAATCTCCCATAATTGTGAGGTCAATATCCACCATCTTCACACTGATCATTTACTAATAAAATTGCAGGATGCTTCCATGATTCCAAATACATTGATCTCTTATCTACTTGCATGATTACTGCTTTCTCAACTTTTTTCAAAATGTGATCATCTTTATATTGTTTGAACCCTGCTATCCAAGAGAGTTGGAGGGGTAATTTGAGTATAGAGACTCATCCTTTAACATTCTTTGCACAAAACAGCAGCCCTAGGATTCTTACCCACAACCTCGTTGTTGAAGTCCCAGGATGTGATATTACAAGGAAATCTACTTCTGTCATTGTTTCTGCTCAGAGTTCCATGATGACTTGATTTTTACTCTCCCATGTTTGTTGAACAATTTTGATTTTCTCTGGTTTACTTACAATGTGACATTTCCCTTTAATGAAATATGCTCACTTCATATCAATATTGACACTTAAATCACCAAACATTATACATTTAACACTTCCTTTTTCCTATTCACACGAGGCTATATTTCTCATAAATGAAGTCTACATCCATCGCATAGACATTGATCAGATTTAAGAGTTATGTATGGTTTCTTTTTTTCCATAGTAAGCATGAAATCAAGTTTTTGCTTACATCCTTTCATATGTTTGACCTTTAACCTCTAGCAGAGTCATTATCTATTGCAGGGAAAAAGGCAATAAAGGAGGACAAAAAACACTTCAAGTACAGATAACCTCGTTTAGGTTCAATTCAGAAACCATGACATTTTCAAAGGAAGCAAATCTAAAAACTGCCAAAATGATTCATTCTCAATTCACTGTCTACATAGAGAAAATACGAACAAGCTTAATGAGAACTCAACCTATAATCTGATGGTCGGCTCTTCAAACTAATCACTAATTAATGGGGAACCCAACTTAAGCCATAGTAACTATCTAGGACTCCACCCGCTTACAAAATCAAACAATCTATCAATATAATGGTAAACAACCATCTATTCCAAAAGCTTAAGTTATTGAAGAAAGTGTAACTTAAATATTTATATTTCAACAGACACCCTCACGTACAGACTAAATTTTGTGTTAAGCGCGTGAAAACTCTTTTAATAATTATGTTGGCAGCAATTAGGGTGGCAGCGAGAATCGAACACAAAAACTCATGCTCTAATCCCATGTCAAATAATCATCTACTCCAAAAATTTCAATATTTTAGAGATGGTGTAACTTAAGTATTTATTTTACTTCAACATATAACACGCCCAAATCAGTTCAAGCAGTTACAAACTCAAGTAAAAATTTATGAACAACAAAACAAATACACTATTACTCCGCCAAAACTAATCTCAAGAGACCCACAATAGAAAAAAGCCATAATAACTACCTGATAGTAGGGGTGCAACTTGGGTTGGACAACCCGATTTCAACCCAAAAAAATTAGGGCTTGGACAAGCGTTTTTAATACTTGGGTTGGGTTTAGGTCAAAAAATTTCAATCCGAATTTAATTTGGGTTGAGCTCGGGTTAAGGCCTCGTGAACCCAAGTTCAACCCAAACCCAACAAATTAAAAAAAAATATATATATATATATAAGCATTAGCATTGGTTTTTCATTTTTATTCTATCGTTCTCTGTCTCTCTCGTTCTCTTTGTCTCTCTCGTTCTTTCGGCCTCTCTCGTTAAAAACTTGGTTGAAGTTATTTGTTGTTAATTTAGGTGAATATTATGTAATATATGTATTAGGTTTAGAATAAAAAACCTATTTTAAGCTCTACTTGAATTGAACTCGAATTGAACCCGTAAAGTAACTCAAATTCAACCCGAGCCCGCCCGAATTAAACTCGGGTAGTGCTTGGGTTGAGTTCTCCAACTCGAGGTAGGGTTAGAATTAGGGTTAGGGTTAGGGTTAAAGATTTTACACTTAGGGTTGGGCTAGAATTGATTTTCCAACTCGCCCGAGTTGCACCCCTACCTGATAGATAAACACTCGTTAAAGTTACTAAGAATGGATCATCATAAACTAACCATAATCAGTTAATAAGCTTCATCTGATACAAACTCACAAGAGACCCTATTACTCCTCCAGAATTATTTACATAGATCTACAACTAAAGTAATTAGGTAGTCTACAATTGACATAAAACTTTGTCGGGTCTACATGATGAGTCCAAATAATGTTATATGGGCTAATATTATGCCGTATTTAATTGAAATAAGTGTATAACATATGACCAAAATGAAGAACGAATAAGAACTCATATTTCCACCTCCAAATAATTGGGAAGTTTTGTTTGGTTTATCTACAAGTAAAGCAAGCCAAAACAAAACCACTTTTGTTAATGCTTGATTAAGAATTGCCCAGGACTAAAAAGAAACCTTGAATTATCTACAAATCTGATCGAATATAGGATATTAGTGCAAATTATGCTGATATCGTCAAATTTTCACAAAATACCTCCGAGGCTTTTGAAGGGTTTAACCAATGGTTTGGCACCCTAAGGTCTTGAACTGGGACTTCTGAGTCTTGGTCTACATCGCGGAGTGGTTCTGCATGACAATGACGTCTTTGAATTGAGGCGAAACCACTGGGACCGATTGCGGGACATGTAGCCGGAAAATTAACGGCCGGCGTACCAATTGTAAGGGTACTATGACGGCGAAAGTGACTGTTTAGACTACTTGTCGATGGAACCATGAAAACTAGTGACCCCATGCCTNTATGACGGCGAAAGTGACTGTTTAGACTACTTGTCGATGGAACCATGAAAACTAGTAACCCCATACTTTCTGATAATTAGATTTCTTCCCCTGATTTTTTTCTCCCTGAGTTGTGGCCGTGTGTGGTTCGAAGAGCTGAAAATGATTGATGGCGGGAAATTGAGGCCAAGGTGATAGCGTCAGTCTGGATAAGGGGTTAACTGATCACTCTGGCGTATACGCATCCGGCCCACGGGCTGACCATTTAGCTTGAGGCCCAATCGATCATGCCCGGGTTGGCTCGCTATGTACAATTGGACCATGAGCTTCCTGTAAGGGCATGTTTCGATGAACAACATCAACACGAGGGGGTGATTGAATTGATTTAAGAAACCCCTTCAAATCCCTTATCNGCGGGAAATTGAGGCCAAGGTGATAGCGTCAGTCTGGATAAGGGGTTAACTGATCAGTCTGGCGTATACGCATCCGGCCCACGGGCTGACCATTTAGCTTGAGGCCCAATTGATCATGCCCGGGTTGGCTCGCTATGTACAATTGGACCATGAGCTTCCAGTAAGGGCATGTTTCGATGAACAACATCAACACGAGGGGGTGATTGAATTGATTTAAGAAACCCCTTCAAATCCCTTACCCATTTTTACATAGGATTAAATCATAAATCCTATCTAATCCCATGTTGGTAGGCAACATAATTATATGTGGAGTCTATAGATTCATATCAAATCATATTACTCAATTTATTAAAATGTACATTATTAAGTGAATAAAAGAATAAATTTTTGGATAAAATACTATTTTTATCTTCAAATTTAATCTTTCACTCTTCAAACCCCGTGGATTTTAATGCAATATTCATTGCGGACCGGGAGTCGGCCGGAATTCATTTTCCCTATAAATTCCAAACCTCAAATCTGTGCATTGAATTATTTTCACAATTAAGAACATAGGATGTTTAGAACTGACTCAATGGATCAACCCATTATGTGGGCATTTTCTCATTCACTAGTGGTTGGTGACCTAGCCTAACCCGATGGGGTTTATTATGCACACTAAATTTTTAGACCAAATCAAGAGCTAAAATGACATAACAACTGATTATTTAGAATATTTATTACTCAAATGACATAACACCAAATAAATAAACTCAAGTCAATTTTCATGTCATTTGAACTTTTGATTTAGTCTAAAAATTTGATCAGTGTAACATTATTAATGCGCATATATACAATTAAAGACGGCATTATAATTTAAACTAACTTGTCATTAATGTATTGTTGTCATTGCATTGACAGTTACACCTAAATAATCTTAGTTTAGGACCTTAGGTACATATAGTATGGTTGTATTGCTTATGAGGGGAATCTGGACAATGAGTTGAGACACTAAACCCAGCGAATGGGCTACAATAAGCCGACAACAATTTTTTCCAATGCCAATTAGCATGGGAGAACCCCCCACACTAATATCTTAAAAAGAAAAATATTACACAATTTAAATAAAATTCTAAAAATTACAACTCAGATATATATCATTCTTTCGATGAATAGATCTCATCAACTTCTGAATATAACTCATTCATCCAACAATCATCAAAAAGTTGATATGCATTGATATTACACTTTCTGAATTTTATTTGAGTTGTGTAATTTTTTGCGTTCAAAAATTATATTGTAATGCACTAACCTTAATAGAAGATGGAAACGGAATGGAATACTCAAGTGCTATCCATCATATTAATGGCGGTAGATAACCGCAAAAAGTGTATATTAGAACACTTCAACTTATTTTTTGATCTAATATGAGATTCTCACACGTGCAAAATATCCAACATTAGAGAATCATATCTTTCCGATTGTAAAACAAACTCATCTAGCGATGGAGGGATTTTGTACGCCCAATGAGTGGAACCTCGTGCATTGGGTACAACTAACCCAAGAAAGGAAAGTATCATTTATTCAAACATAAATACAACTTAATATTGTCTTACTGCACATTTAGCCATTTTTAGTTATAAAAGCGCAACACCATATGTAGTATGTTTATCATTTTTCATGTGTACTCTCTCGCTGATATATGTAGGGAAGTATAAACTTGTATAGAGTCCTCTGAAACATTAATTGTGCAGAAGCAGCAGTAGAAAGTGACCTTCAGAAGGAACTTTTTGTAGGGTGTTTATTTTGACAAGCTGAGATCCACCTTATCAACATCTTCCTTTGGGCAGATGAACAACTTTCGCACCATGACCTGAAAAACCCTGCATTTGGAAACAATTAGCACATTAGAACAAAACAATGGCAGCTCGAACTCCCAAACGTACCCCTAATGAACAGATGTTCTCAACGGGTATATTTATTAAATGACACTTACGGCCATGGAAAGTCTCCAAGCAGCATCATATTCCCCTCGCCATCTTTGTAGGTAACATGCCAATCACTGCTCCCATCAAGCAGTGCTCCCTCGAAGTTGAACATCTTGTCGAGCTCACAAATAAGTTCGATATACCCATCAAAATGCGCCAGGTGAACTGACCTTCCTAGAGCAGTTCCATACTTCACTACCTGAAAGGCAAAAAAAAAATTGTATGCTGCTTTTAAAATTGCTTTTATGAAATATACAATCCTAAAGCGNCCCATTTTTACATAGGATTAAATCATAAATCCTATCTAATCCCATGTTGGTAGGCAACATAATTATATGTGGAGTCTATAGATTCATATCAAATCATATTACTCAATTTATTAAAATGTACATTATTAAGTGAATAAAAGAATAAATTTTTGGATAAAATACTATTTTTATCTTCAAATTTAATCTTTCACTCTTCAAACCCCGTGGATTTTAATGCAATATTCATTGCGGACCGGGAGTCGGCCGGAATTCATTTTCCCTATAAATTCCAAACCTCAAATCTGTGCATTGAATTATTTTCACAATTAAGAACATAGGATGTTTAGAACTGACTCAATGGATCAACCCATTATGTGGGCATTTTCTCATTCACTAGTGGTTGGTGACCTAGCCTAACCCGATGGGGTTTATTATGCACACTAAATTTTTAGACCAAATCAAGAGCTAAAATGACATAACAACTGATTATTTAGAATATTTATTACTCAAATGACATAACACCAAATAAATAAACTCAAGTCAATTTTCATGTCATTTGAACTTTTGATTTAGTCTAAAAATTTGATCAGTGTAACATTATTAATGCGCATATATACAATTAAAGACGGCATTATAATTTAAACTAACTTGTCATTAATGTATTGTTGTCATTGCATTGACAGTTACACCTAAATAATCTTAGTTTAGGACCTTAGGTACATATAGTATGGTTGTATTGCTTATGAGGGGAATCTGGACAATGAGTTGAGACACTAAACCCAGCGAATGGGCTACAATAAGCCGACAACAATTTTTTCCAATGCCAATTAGCATGGGAGAACCCCCCACACTAATATCTTAAAAAGAAAAATATTACACAATTTAAATAAAATTCTAAAAATTACAACTCAGATATATATCATTCATTCGATGAATAGATCTCATCAACTTCTGAATATAACTCATTCATCCAACAATCATCAAAAAGTTGATATGCATTGATATTACACTTTCTGAATTTTATTTGAGTTGTGTAATTTTTTGCGTTCAAAAATTATATTGTAATGCACTAACCTTAATAGAAGATGGAAACGGAATGGAATACTCAAGTGCTATCCATCATATTAATGGCGGTAGATAACCGCAAAAAGTGTATATTAGAACACTTCAACTTATTTTTTGATCTAATATGAGATTCTCACACGTGCAAAATATCCAACATTAGAGAATCATATCTTTCCGATTGTAAAACAAACTCATCTAGCGATGGAGGGATTTTGTACGCCCAATGAGTGGAACCTCGTGCATTGGGTACAACTAACCCAAGAAAGGAAAGTATCATTTATTCAAACATAAATACAACTTAATATTGTCTTACTGCACATTTAGCCATTTTTAGTTATAAAAGCGCAACACCATATGTAGTATGTTTATCATTTTTCATGTGTACTCTCTCGCTGATATATGTAGGGAAGTATAAACTTGTATAGAGTCCTCTGAAACATTAATTGTGCAGAAGCAGCAGTAGAAAGTGACCTTCAGAAGGAACTTTTTGTAGGGTGTTTATTTTGACAAGCTGAGATCCACCTTATCAACATCTTCCTTTGGGCAGATGAACAACTTTCGCACCATGACCTGAAAAACCCTGCATTTGGAAACAATTAGCACATTAGAACAAAACAATGGCAGCTCGAACTCCCAAACGTACCCCTAATGAACAGATGTTCTCAACGGGTATATTTATTAAATGACACTTACGGCCATGGAAAGTCTCCAAGCAGCATCATATTCCCCTCGCCATCTTTGTAGGTAACATGCCAATCACTGCTCCCATCAAGCAGTGCTCCCTCGAAGTTGAACATCTTGTCGAGCTCACAAATAAGTTCGATATACCCATCAAAATGCGCCAGGTGAACTGACCTTCCTAGAGCAGTTCCATACTTCACTACCTGAAAAGGCAAAAAAAAAATTGTATGCTGCTTTTAAAATTGCTTTTATGAAACATACAACAATCCTAAAGTGTGAAGTTATTTCAAGTAAGCAAAATTGAGAAGTGGCTTACATGACCATCAAGTAAACTAAATATAAAATTTCCAACTAGCCAAGGTTCATCATTAAGTTGATTTCAAACACAAAAAAAAAAAAGTACCTTTGTGCAAGTCCGGGAACAGCAGTTACCACATGGCTTCTCTGGAAGACTGGCAGAAATACTCTCTAACTTCTCTGAAATGTGAATGGTTTCAGAAATCCTCAACTGAGATACTGCTAGAGGGACAGAACAAAGACTTGTTAGCTCACTCGTAGACTCAATTTGTAGTGAAGGGAGCTCCGAATGATTATTACATATATTGACTCCAAAGAGCAGGCAATTCCCGCTGCCGTTTGGTTTGACCCGTGCAGCTTCAGTCACGTCCTTCTCTTCAGAAGCCTTCCAGTCCTGAGATGCAGAGCTGTTGGAATTGACGTTACTTGCTTCAGAGTTATTATGAGTTCCACAAGAACTGAACGTTGAGGACCAGGAGTTTGCAACCCTCCAATTAGGGGGAGCTCCACCAGGAAAAGCTATGGTGTTGTCAGGCTGCGGACGAAATGCCTGATGAATCCGAAAAGGCAGCTGATTCTCCAATCCTAGTTGTTGCATCTGACCCCATCCTGGATGTGGTTGTGGCGTAAAATGTGGCGATGACGATTGAGTTGATTCACCGTGTATCTGTGTACCTACAGTTCTGATTTCTTGACCTTGCAAGACCCCCAATTGTCTTTGAGATGGGCACTCAACCGACCTCTTCATTGAACCTTTAGGATGATTAAAAAGAAAATTCAATCATGTACAGTAGAGAAAGTACAGCAAAGTATAACTTATAACAGTATAATGCATTGAACGCAGCACAGAAAGAACTTTCCACCCAGAACAGGACATATGACTACTGACCATCCTTGACCAGAGCAGCAGCTCTTGTGTCAAAAGGGCGTGCCCTCTTTGGATGGGGTACAATAGCTTTACACTTCTTTTTGGTGATTCCAATAGGTTCGATGCTCCAAGGAGAAACCCTTTCCGGGTGAACAAGCATTTTTGCCGTGGCATCCCATTGCACCTAGAAAGAGAAAGATATACAACCAGTTCATATGAATTTACATGTCCATAGGTATTTTGGCGTCTGCAAATATGAAGGGTTGTTACCTTAAGAGATCTCCACTCTGAACCAGGCCACCTAATGCGATCAATATCTTCAATTCCAACTACCGTTCCTGCGAATCTGGCAATGAAATTGTTTTTAGTTAGTAGAAGCAGCAACAAGACATTCATTTTTTTTTTATTCTCTTTATCTGTGTGTGTGTGTGTGTGTGTGTGTGTGTGTGTGTGGGTGTGGGTGTGGGTGTGGGTGTGTGTGGGAGTGGGTGGGTGGTGTGTGTTTGAATTCTAGCAGTCACCAATCTGGGCAACCCTCCGATTGACNCAGCAACAAGACATTCATTTTTTTTTATTCTCTTTATCTCTGTGTGTGTGTGTGTGTGTGGGTGTGGGTGTGGCTGTGTGTGGGAGTGGGTGGGTGGTGTGTGTTTGAATTCTAGCAGTCACCAATCTGGGCAACCCTCCGATTGACAATCTGTTATTACAAAGTACGAACTATGGCCATATAAATAATTTCAATAAATAAACCGCAAACACTCACTTTGGGCACCTATTTTCAGAACATTCTTCACTTTCAAATTGCATTTTGAATCTCATTCCAATTGAGTAATCCACCTCAGCTGACCTCATGTATTGATCAAAAGGGATTAGAAATTCAGCAGGGCTTGTCCTGCATAGAATCATAGAGGTTCATTACTCAAAGGTAAATCACACATGTGCCCATGAAGTTAGTACAATTAGAAATACAAGGACATGTAGAAAATAAACAGTCCTAGCTTACCAAGGACGGTAATACACAGTAAACATGGTTCCAGTAGAAATGGCATGGAAGGCACTGGCAAGTATGCCATGTTGCATGCTGTGGCTGGATAGAACAGATGCTGATGCACTGTATTGTGGTTTCACTGCACGGCGCAACCCAACTTTAAGCTCTCCATTCTCTCCACTACAAGGCATGCATTGATTTAGTAGCTTATAAGATTGACCAACAGCTAATGAGATTTAGAATTTTNAGGCATGCATTGATTTAGTAGCTTATAAGATTGACCAACAGCTAATGAGATTTAGATTTTTTTATTTAACTCAGCTGGTTCACTTGTTCCTACATTGGTTTATGAAGTGTTTGGAATAGAATCCACTGTGAGTGTTTGTATTTGTGGAGAGAGAAAAAAGAAACAGAGATAACCTAACAAAGATACACTCATCCCCAGCAACAAGCTTCTTGGCACTCACAAATGTACTCCAACCACTGGTAATCAGGTGTCGCTTTGGCTGACCTATGTTTATAAGTGAAAAAACGAAAAACGGTAATATGATCGNCCTAACAAAGATACACTCATCCCCAGCAACAAGCTTCTTGGCACTCACAAATGTACTCCAACCACTGGTAATCAGGTGTCGCTTTGGCTGACCTATGTTTATAAGTGAAAAAAAAGAAAAACGGTAATATGATTGGCTAGAAAACAAACACAGAAATCATAGACTCTGATTATAACTTCTAAAAACTGCCCCTAAAACCATTAAAATGACCTGTAAATTTGCAAGTCCTTATACAGAAAAATTTGAGAATTGTACAATTAGGATTTTTTTAAGAAAAGAAATGAACCCTTACCATACCGTATNGGCTAGAAAACAAACACAGAAATCATAGACTCTGATTATAACTTCTAAAAACTGCCCCTAAAACCATTAAAATGACCTGTAAATTTGCAAGTCCTTATACAGACAAATTTGAGAATTGTACAATTAGGATTTTTTTAAGAAAAGAAATGAACCCGTACCATACCGTATGGAATTGAATACTTTACACTGGAAAAACTATCTCGGGACATTTGTTGATTCATTTACAGGGAAATGCCAAAAAACTTTTCCTTTTGTCCAAAACTACAATAGTGAAAACAACAAAGTTGTGACATTAATTGTTTTCATAATCAAGTTTTGAAGTTAATACCACGATATATATGACGGAAGAACCATTCTGATCCATGCAAATCCTGTGCCACCAGTACTTGCACGGGAGGTTGCTGAGACAGGTCCTGCAACAAGTTGATCTGTGATTGATACATAATGAAAAAATATTTTGCTATCCTTCCTAGTGAATACCCTNAAAGTTGTGACATTAATTGTTTTCATAATCAAGTTTTGAAGTTAATACCACGATATATATGACGGAAGAACCATTCTGATCCATGCAAATCCTGTGCCACCAGTACTTGCACGGGAGGTTGCTGAGACAGGTCCTGCAACAAGTTGATCTGTGATTGATACATAATGAAAATATATTTTGCTATNATACAGAAAAATTTGAGAATTGTACAATTAGGATTTTTTTAAGAAAAGAAATGAACCCGTACCATACCGTATGGAATTGAATACTTTACACTGGAAAAACTATCTCGGGACATTTGTTGATTCATTTACAGGGAAATGCCAAAAAACTTTTCCTTTTGTCCAAAACTACAATAGTGAAAACAACAAAGTTGTGACATTAATTGTTTTCATAATCAAGTTTTGAAGTTAATACCACGATATATATGACGGAAGAACCATTCTGATCCATGCAAATCCTGTGCCACCAGTACTTGCACGGGAGGTTGCTGAGACAGGTCCTGCAACAAGTTGATCTGTGATTGATACATAATGAAAAAATATTTTGCTATCCTTCCTAGTGAATACCCTACTTAAAAAAGAAAGAGAATGTCAAATCATCCAGATAAAATAGGACAAAACATTAGAGCAGGGGTAAAGCGTAATATCAACAATGTGCAAAATCCTTTTCTTAAAAGTGCAGCGGGTTCAAAATAATTTTTTTTTATAAATACCAACCAGAGGCGGAAAGCATTCGTCAGCTTTACGCTTGGGAACAGAGAATCCACCATGAGTGCTTGTATCAGATGGAGTGAGTTTCTTGCTGAAGGTGCGTGCATGACTTTTCTTAGGGAGAGGTAGAGAAGTTCCATCCTCCAGACTAGGCTCCTCTCCCTGCGATGATCCAAAGTTTTAACATCTTCAGAATGTATAAGAGCCTTTAGATATTACTAAACAGAAAATGCAAAACAACAAAATTCCTAAAGATTTGATTTCTTAAGCATTTGGGTGCCTAAGTTTGTCATAATGTACTGCAGTCATCACAAGAATCTCCAAAATGAAATCTAAAAGGAAATTGAGAATATTCGTCAGCTTTNACTGCAGTCATCACAAGAATCTCCAAAATGAAATCTAAAAGGAAATTGAGAATATTGTGTGAGATGTAAGGAAATCTTATCAAAATTAGTTGCAATAGAAGTTATACTCTCAAGGCACAGCTAAATAGCTAGTATAGTCATTCAAAAGAATAATTTTTTTGGAAAAAACAAAATAGAATAGCAATCATGTATGGTATGTTGACCTAATTTAAAATTGCAGTTGCCTACCTTTATAAATGGAAGCAAAGTAATTTGTGCAAACACCTCATCTGTACTAGCTTCAGCCTGCAAACCACAATTAGAAAAAAAAAAAGAGGAAGTCTATCCAAGAAAAATTAATACATAGGTGAATTAATAAAGAAAAATATTTTGCCACCCATACATCAACCCATTGGCAAAAGTAACCAAACTATAAGGGAAAATCATGGAAAGGTGATATACCTGCAAGTGAATATAGACAACCTTGCAAAGAATCTTAGAAGGTAAATTGTAGATGGGCATTTCCACATTATCATCCTGGTTCATGTATGCTTCAACCTATACCAAGAATGAAAGATATTTGACAAAAGGTGGCCAACATTAAAACAACTAAGATCTATTTAAAAAACATGTAATGTGACACACCAGAGAGATATAACAATTGAACAGGGTAGAGTCCAGATTATTTTTCATTTTCAGAAAGACTTCACCTAACTGTAATTCCTGTTTTTCAGTGCTTGATAAAGACAAAATTCAATAATTACATCCCCAGCCGACATTTAAATTACATGCCATGATCATTTTAATTTTACACTATGAATAAGTAAACCTAATATGTAATTTTCTTTGATAAATACAAGAAGTTACAGTACAACTTGAAGTCATCTCATTCATTTTTGGAAGGACTTCAACCATCCATTGTTCCTTTTATTCAACAATACAAGACAAAATTCAATAACTACATCTCCATCCGATATTTAATTTATAGATTGTATTTTTTTATTGTCGTACTCTGAATGAACGATAATAAAAAAAAATTGTCAATATTGAACATGTAATCTGCATAAAAACATTATTCACTTTTGGAATGAGTCCAAGTAATGATTCCTTTTTAAAAGTAGAGATGATGCTTTTTGTCAATTTGCTAAATGAACAACAATAACATGAATGTATCAGTGAATCAGGTACAGAGGAAAACAAAACCTGTTCAAGGTGACCCTGAGGAAAGTAGTAAACCTTATCCCCAGCATGAGGAACATTAACCAGGGGACCAGCGCATGCAAGCCATAGTTGAGTATATATATCATTTTGCCAACCTTAGGGACAAAACACAATTCATATTAGTAGCAAAACAAGAAGGGGAGAACAATCATGCCTCCGTCTGTATGTAAAACAGGAAGGGGGGGTAGAGACAGAGAGAGAGGTGGAGGAGATCATAGCAGGGATTCGGGAGTGGGAGTTAGCTAGCAATCGACGTGTATGATTAAATTCTAAAATGATTGTGAGAAAGAACTGCACAGCTATTTGGCCATGGCTTGGTTGAAATGCAGAGGCTAAAAGGGAAACATCCAACAACAATCAAAAAAAAAAAAACCTATAGAAGGGTTTTTGTAGCTTTTTGTAAGAGTTAAATATGAAGGTTCAAGCATTGAAAAATACAGATATCAAAAATCTTACGGATCAATGAAAATTTCAATTTGAACTTCGTAATAATTGAACAGTCAAAAATCCCAGTAGGCCAAATTGGACTTGATGAGTGTANCTCTCCCTCTCCCTCTCCCTCTCTCTCCGGTGTTTCTATAGCTCGCTGGCGGTATTTGCTACATTGAGCCGATATCTTCTATGCACATCCCGCTACATCCTAATATTTATTTCAGGAAAATTTACAATTTCACCCCTAAAATTTACGATATCTTCTGTGGTGAAAGGTGTATATTTGTTCTTGATAAATTTTCTCTCACTTGCTAGAAAAAAATTATTTTATTTTCATCTATTTATGAGATAAATAAG